GCCTGGCGGCCCTTCGCCCGCAGCGGCAGCCGCTGCCAAGTGTATTTTTAAAGCGATGTATCCCTTCTGTCCTTAGTGGCACCCCGTGCCGGTCCGCCGTGCCAAACTTGGCCCCGATACCAGCGGCTTAGCCCATGGGTCAGGGGCGCGTGTAGGACGCTACCTGGAATTAACCCCAAGGTCAGTGCCCACCTCCTGGGAGGATTCACAGCTAGCGGCGGTGAAGCCATTGGGAAAGGCATCCCAGCTCACTGCCACGGTCCCAGAGCTGGCATCGGTGCCTGACAGTGCCCCTCCGGTGCAGCACGGAGGGTCACTGGACTGATCATTGTCCTGGAAGGATGCAGCCACCATCCTTCCTGCTGCTGCGACCCTCCAGCAGAGGCTTGTCCAGGCTGGGAGGGATGCTCTGGCCAGGGTCGGGACTGAGCCCTTAGGGCAGAGGGAGAGAAGTGCTCTGGAGGAGTTTTCTGTATCTTTGACCATGTGCTACGCCATGACCACAAAAACACTCGCAAAAGGCAATGCAGGCTTTGTACAAAAGTTTATTGCTCCGTACCTCACCCCTGCAGAGGCTCCAGGGGCAGCCTGGCTGTCCGGCTGCTGGACACCAGCCTGGAGGCTCCTGAAGCGCTTGGGAGCTGGTCCCAGCTTCAGCTTCTCCCTCTCCTCCAGAAACCTGGGAGAGAAGGGCAGAGAGCTGCTGGGGCAGCCACTCCGAGGCTTTCAGCCAGGGACAGCGGCTGCCCCGGCCACCTCCGCTTTGGATGGATCATTTCTCCTCCATGGGGGAGAGAAGTGGGGGGAATCGGAAATTTTCCTCTGTCTGCAGCAGCTCCCAACAGCTTTTTCTTCTCTGTATACATATTTTTGTGCTATGTGAATAAACCACATCCTGAGGTTTGGGTTTAGGAGATTTCCCTTCCTTGTAAGTTCATGTGATGATGGTTCTTGCCTTCCTCTGGCATTGGTGGCAAACCCTTCCCTCTACAGCTAAGAGGCACTAATCTTTTAGTGGCCTAAAAGTCAGCCTTGAGCGATGGTATAGCTGACCCCTTTGCTATAAACGTTACTTGCTCTCCAGCCATGCCTTGGCTACAGCAGTGAATCAGTCACCACCATCTCCTCAGCTC